ACACCACTACTGAATTGTTCATTGTCAACACTCGAATCACAGTTCACCGACCCCGAAATCCCAGTTCCCCAGGCACAGTACCGTGAGTGCAGTGACGGCCAGTCCTCTCCATCCGGCGCCTTGCCTGCTGCTCCTCGAATCAGCTGACGCGGTCCAGTGCAGCGCCAACGGGCCGCGGAGCTGGGCAGAGCTCCGAGCCGAGTCGCGGTGGCGAAACGGCCGGCTGGTGCCGATCACCAGCAGCGAGGAGGTCGGACGCCAATCGCTATGGCGGTGCCGACTCGTCACTCGCTCACCACTCGCGCACCAAATCACTGAACACTGCACACTGAGCTCGCAGGCCGCAGCAGCGCGACGGCTGGGCCGAGATCACCAAAGGCCACTGCGCACTGATCGCTGTCTCTCAGCCTCCTCACGGACGTCACCTCCATCACAGCTGAGACTACAGAGTGCAGGTAGCCGGTACCACGAAGATTGAAGAAGCAGGGAAACAGCGCGGTCCAGGACTAGGCTCCTCTTGCTTCGATAGCCCTGGGCTGGTCGATCTCCATGACGGCTCGTAACTGGTCCATCTTGCGATAAACTTGATGAATAAATGTGTTGCAACAACGGCGCTCAGTCGACACTTGCAAAGCCAAGTGGACCGAGGATCAGTCGACCGTAGCACAGCTCAAGAAGCGGAGCTCAGTGCTAGCGGGAACAGACGGCACTGCTGGACAGTCGCCGTGCAGCGGCCAACATGCCGCAGTCTTCAGTCGGGACAAAAGGCGAAGTCGGCCGACCTTACCGGCTAACTGACAACTCGTCAGAGTGTTGCAGAGCCGGAAAACCAACAGCAGACATCTTGCACTGGCGATAGCTTCTCCGAAGAGTTCAAACAGTCAGTTGAATTCTTGAATTCTTCATCTTGAGGCCGCGAAAGCCGAGGACGTCGGTTCGGGCTCCAAACTTCATTTCGACTAAGTCGATCCCACCGCTGCCACCAAATATAAACCCGTGTTTACTGAAGGTGTATCGACATAATCAAAAGTGAAGAACATTATATTGTATTTATCTTTAGGTTACATTTTAACAGAGCCAGGAGCGCAACCTCACTCCTTGAGCTCTCGATCCAGACTCCCCGCCCACAGTCAGCCGAACACCTGCCGTGATCAGCTGAATGGGCGAAAACATAGTGCACCATGAGATGCTCCGATCGCGGCATCCGCTATATAAAACAAAACATTTTACTAATTGTTCAGTAAAGCCTCTAAGCATGAACAAGAGTGTTTACCATTCTAATAATATGTTGTACATAATAAAACATTTAATTGCATTATCTAGGACAGCTTCGAGTTCATACCTGAAGCAACAATTGATTAGCAGACGCATGGGTGTAGAAACGTTTTCAAAGTTGGTGTGGAGTTTACAGCCATTCTCGAAAACTACCCCCATTTTTTGCCAACTCCAAAATCTCATGGGATCTGCATCAATCTCAGGGGGTACTCGGTCGGAGGTTGGGGGAGGCAAACTGCCCGCTTGCCCTCCCCCCCCCCCCCCGTGGCGACGCTAATGGTGTTGAAAGCCTTCACTGGCTATAAGAGCTTAGAGGAGGTTTGAGCAACCACTGGAACAGACCCTATCATGCTCAAGCTCGGGTGGAAACGCCAATCAGCTCGTTTATCGCCTTGCCAATCAGCTCATAGACCCGGGAACAGGGGGGGGGGAGCGAGGGCGATTGCCCCCAACTTAAGAGCCGAGGGGGTGACGTCTCCCAACATTCATGCAGCGAGGAAGGATCTTTCCTCTTTTTGATGATGACTACACCGAACAGTAGGTAAGCAGAAAACTGAAGTGGTCGAACTTCGACTCGAAGAGAGGGTCCGTCATTGGAACAAAGCGTAAATACCGCTTAGTTTTCGGCCCTAAGAAGACCCTTTCATCTTGCTCTATCTCTGAACTCATTCATAGTTTCTTCGCAACCGGCAAAACGCCAGAAAAAAGTGTAATATGCGTACAGGGCATGCATATCTTGGCTCCCTGTCCTTTGAGGTCCTGAGGACGATAGCGGAAATTCTGTGACGATAAACCAAGAGAGGTGGTCGAGGATCCTCCAGTTTTTTTTTTCTTATGGTATTTTCTAATGGTTCTTCCGCTCGCCGCAGCGCAGCTGTGCCGACACCATCAAACAGCAGTGGTTTCACCAGGATGGAGACCATGCTTGCACCGTCCTGAAGATCATGCATTGTCTCAGAGAGTGGATGTGAAAAGTTTTCCTTGTATATTATATCAAAATTTGGACCGAATTTGGAATGGGAAGGGCTAAAATTAGTCTGGGCTAAATCAGTCCGGGCCCAAAGCCACCCACTCAACCATTCGGACAAAATTTTCTAAACAAAATAGGCTAACTTTTATTTCATACCAAAACGGCACATTCGGAAACCGTGAATGCTGGTCTTGTGTCTACCACCAGCAGATTCGCGAATATCAATCCCCTGCTAGATTGACGAGTATGCACGTTTCTGCAATGTTTATAGACAACAATATCTTCTAAATAAAAATTATTCACTTTTTAAATGTAATATATCACAAAAAGGCAAGTAAATAAAGTCAAAATGAAGCCACTGCCAGCTTTTACAAAAAAAAAAAAAACAAATGCATGAACGTCTTTTCCTGATGAAGGAAAACTTTTCTATGGCGGGAACAACAAATTAGGTATCATTGCGCTATTGCAACGATTATGGCGCAGGCCACTTATGCACATGTGCTACAGCCGTCAAACCAACAATACATCATTCTTATTAAAAAAAAAAAAAAATCGTAGAGCCAAAGCACATAGAGAAGGTAATTGTGCCCTGCTGAATGTGAGGTTTGTTCAAAAATTGCTAACTTATTCCCCACATCTCGTCGAATACTGCTGTTTTTCAGGCTGGGGATGACACCAGAGCGGGTAAAAACCAGCATCTTGAGGCATAATTCTTTTACAAATAAAAACCAGGGCAGTTGGACAATGATAAAGGCTTGATTAATGATAATCATTTTCATCATGCATATTGTGTAACTGTGATATATCTAGTGGGTGCATGCTTAAATTAAATGCTTCATACAGTTATTGCTTACTGCTGATAAGAAATGACATGCTTTTTGGATATTTTTCTTAAACTTAGAATGTGAAATATTTTTTGTGTAAACTTGCAGATTTTGGGGTGCTTCTGCCAGTGAGAGGTGCATTTTTTGGCTCAGGGGATGCTCGAGCATTCCCATACCCCCCCCCCCCCTCCCCCAATTATCAGCCTTTGTGGACTATGAAGAACCCATACTGATTTCTTTTGGCCTTGAATCATATTTTGCTGTTGTTGTTTTTTTTTTTACTCAGAAGTGCATGAGAAGTGTCACCACTTAAAGTTGGTGTGGAAAATCCACACCAACTTTCAAGTTGGTGTGCCAACTTTCAAGTTGGTGTGGAGCTCTCCATACCAACCACATACGAAGTTACGCCCATGAGCAGACGATCACGCGCAAAACCGTTGAATTAAATTCCTGTCCAGACATCATATGGTCACCGGGCTCCTCTCGGCGGTGAAACAGTTAAAGGGACCCTCCCACCTTCAAAAAAGTTAATGAATTGGCATGAAAGTGATGTCCCTTGGTTCAGAAAGAGCGAAAACGAATATCTACCAAATTTCACCGAAAAATATTCACTGGTTTTCAAGATATTAGGCTTTTACTTTTGTTTACTTTTTGGGATCTCCCCTGTTACTAGCGACTTTATTTGGAAGCAATAATTTGGCAGCCTTAAAGTGCGGCAGACGTTGCGCGCAAAGCAGCGTATACCACCACGTGTTAACGATGGTTTTAGTCTAAGATTTAAAAATCGTTAGATCTCCGCTGACGTCACAAATTCTAAGGGGGCATTCCAATGCATTAGCCCCTTAGAATCCGAAAACTGCAAGTTTGAAATTCCATATCTTCGAATTAAAGCATTTTTCGATGTTGTGAGTGCCCAAACCGGTATTTGCAGGCCATGGCCATCAATTTGGCTATCTCAACTCAAAACTAATGTTAAGGTGGGAGTGTCCCTTTAAACTTTAATCGGCGCAAAGCTTGCCGATTACACATACATACATATGTATGTATGTATGTACCATTCCGCAACTAGGAGGAAGATCTATTCACTGAGGAGGCTTTTTGTGACGTTTAAAAAACTATGAAATGATTGTTTACTTCAGACCTGACGATGTGCTATGCACGAACAGTTGTCTTATTTTCTTGGCCCTATTTTGAATGTAATTATTAGCATGAGGCTTACGGCTTTCATTGCAGTTATATATGTAATCATGAGCCTCAAAACCGCGCTTTCTTTAATCATTGATCATGGTCAAATTTAAAAATACTCAGTTTGACCTGGTCAGGTCAAAGGTCATTGAAAGGTCATCGACAAATACAAAATCATGTATAAAACCTGGATCAATTGCCTCTCTAATGGCGCTTATCGCAGCTTCCCCGCACTCTTAATTACAGAGCATTGGGCATTTCAAGCCTGCAATGTCGGCAAAAACCGTTGACCCTTCATGACCTACAAGTTTGACCTTAGAGGTCACCCAGGTCTAAAACTTGGTGGATGTATTTTTTATATGTGCTAAGAGCGTACCGAATTTCATTAAAATCGAACGGGGGCCAGGTACATTCGTGATCGATTTGACTGGAACGACCCGCCTACAACCCCATGTATATAGGAAGTTCGCATGTGGTCCCACCTGGCACCTGTCGTTAACGATCTTATCGCCTGGAATCCCTCAGGTTGACGTATTTACTGACCCAATGCGAACGTTGAAGAGGAAATCAGCAAAATTTACGTCAACCTTGAGCGGCTTCACATAATAGCCTGTGTAACGAAGCATTCATTGTTCGATATCTGTATATTCATGTTATTGTGTTTACATGTACTGACGTCACATGTAATTGGGTCGGCTGTCGGTGATTAATAAATCATACAATCAGTCTGTAAATGTGTTTCGCAGGTATCGGAGGCGCCCTTCACTGTCCCCACTGCAACTTGAGATGTATGGGACAACAAGGCTTGGACAGACAGGCGAAGAGATGTGTCGATCACGTCGGCAGAAACGGCAGCTTCAAGTGCGAGTGGTGTCAGTACTCGACCAACAAAGTCGCCAATACTAAACACCACCGTAGAAATCATGCTGGACAGCGGCCGTACGGCTGCTCCATCTGCCAGGCACGGTTTGCTGAACGGTCAAACCTCGCCAGACACATGCGGACCCACACGGTGGAGCGGTCGTACGGCTGCTCCATCTGCCAGGCTCGATTTGCTCGACCGTCAGCCCTCATCACACACATGCGGACCCACACGGGGGAGCGGCCGTATGGCTGTTCCATCTGTCAGGCGCGGTTCACTGTTCGGTCAAACCTCACTAAACACATGCGAACCCACACGGGGGTGCGGCCTTATGGCTGCTCACACTGCCAAGCCCGATTCACTGTTCGGACAAGCCTCGCTATACACATGCGGACCCACACTGGGGAGCGGCCATACGGCTGTTCCATCTGCATGGCACGGTTCGCTGAGCGGGGAAAACTCACCAGACACATGCGGACCCACACGGGGGAGCGGCCGTATGGCTGTTCCATCTGCCAGGCACGGTTCACTCGACGTACACACCTCACCAAACACCTGCGGAGCCATAAGGTGGAGCGGCGCAGCAATTTTCAATAACAGATCATCTTTAACCCGCGCAGTGCGCACCGACGGGGGGCGGTTATCCAAAGTCAAAGTCAAAGTCAAAGTCAAAGTAATTTATTAAAGACACGTCCACGATGTGGTTATTATAGTGTCCAGTCAATGGAACATAATACAGCATTAAAATTGACACCCACCGCTCAGGTACACATATATGCATTTTATCATGACACGTAAGCTGCGAATAGCTGAGGATGAATGCGATGAAGGGTAAAAAGTTGAGTTTAGAGTGCTGCGCAAATAAAGTTAACAGCGTGGAAATATATAAAAGTGATTCACTGACGAGGGGCACGCGACAAAGGTCTGGTAAAGGCAGCGCGGCTAGGCGCTTGTCTTGTCTGTGAATCCAATTTGTTCCATGCACTGGCAGCCCGGTAACAAAAACTGTGCTGAGACCGAGCGAGGCGTCGCTTTGGCAGCTCTAGAAGTCCCGCCGTTACCGCTCGCGTCATCCGCTCGGACACACTCCCTCGAGGGACAAACATTGCACGGAGCGACTCGGGACAGACCGTGGAGTTAAGCGCTCTGTACACGTGCATACAGTCATGATCCCTCACCCAGTCGTGCACTCTGCCCCATCCTAGTGATTCAAGGGCTGGTGCGATGTGCTCGTGGCGTCGTACACCAGTGACCAATCTCGCTGCGAAATTTATACATTTCTGGATACGGTGCATGTGGACCTTGGCAGCTCCTCCCCAAACGGATAGGCAGTATTGGATGTGGGGAAATATGTGATGCTGGACGAGGAGTTTCAGGATGTCTCTGGAAAGAAAGTGACGGATTTTGTGTAGGGATGCTGTGATGTGATTGCATCTCTGCACAACCATGGAAATGTGGGATTCCCATGAGAGGCACTGGTCGAGAACAACGCCCAGAACTGTAACGGTCGGACTGGGGGTGATTTTTGAGCCAGAGAAGTCGATATGGAAGTTGGCTGTCTTTTTTATGGAATCTCTGGTACCAAGCAAGATGAAGTGAGTTTTGTCAGCATTCATTTTGAAACTGTTCGCAGAGAACCAATTTTTAAGCTCGTTCAGGGAAACCTCGACCCGTGCCTTCAGAGCAGATAATCCGGTTATCCGCCCCCCCCCCCTTAGGTTTTTCGCGAATAGCGGGAAAACTGCGGAGCTACGTGCAGCGAAAATTGATATGACTATTCATTCATCAATTTTACACATGGTGTGCAAGTTTGATCCTCCTAACTTTTTAGGTCAGGTCACCAGGTCACTTTGAATAACCCAACCTCAAGTCACTTTTTTGCAACTTTGTCACCGTGTCAGAGCTACAGTAGATGACGGATCCTTTGAAAGTCGGAGGATGTTATTAGGTCATTGCTAGCTACAATTTGTATATCTCGGAGTTTTGATATTGATGACCTAATGTCAGGTCAATTTCTCGGCCTCCCCATTTATAAGTCAATGGGGGGAAAATCAACTCCCTGTTTTTCCACTCAAACGCGTCGGAATGGCCCCATATACCATACATGACTTCATATAAGATCAACCTTCACTACCTTGAGGCCTGTTTTACTGTTGGCCAGCTGTAAGGTCATGTGACGTCATCAGAGGTCACCAGCGGTTTTTTGCCAATAACTCCTTACAGGAACGAGATACAGCCGCGCGGATGGTCTCATTGTGTTTAGCTCGTCAAGGCGCATCGAATGACATACATGATGACTTCGAGGTCACGTGACCTGAGGTCAACCTTTGACCGTGACATTTCGAGTTCATCATATATATGATTCGATGCGGATTGACGAGAGGATCACGATGATGCTATGCCCTTAGTTTGTTCCCAGCTTGACTAATGCGAACGTTATTCGAGAAAAACTATCCATATCTAGCGCCGCCATTTTGACTTGTTTTACCCCTGTGACGTCATCTTTGACCTGACCTGAAAATGATCTAGGTAAAAATTGTAGACCTTGTCCATGCGTACCCCCATGCCGTTTACCGCTTGTCGCTATCTTGCTTCGTTCTCTAGATATCCGGGGGGTTGGTCATCCGCCCTCCCCCCCCCCGTCGGTTCTAAGTTGGCGCAGACCCCCGTCGGTGTGCAGGTTAACTATTATACATGTCTACTCTTAGGGGAGGGGATGGCTACAGTTACACCCTTTCGCTTTATCTTGGTGCGTTTTAAGCAGCAGTGGCGAATAAATGCACTGGCGGATCCAGGGGGGGGGGCACGGGGGCCATGGCCCCCCCCCCCAAAGGCCTTAAGTGGCCTGTTTGGCCCCCCCCCCAAAACGCCAGAAAAATTGCTAAGAAAATATACCTTGATGGAGGTTTTTAGCCACTTGGTGAAGTAAAGCTTTCCACAGCATAATATGGAAGCAATATAGTAGCAGTGAGGGTCAGTCAAAAGTTGCGCGAGCGGAGTCGACCTTAAAAAAAAGACTGTTGTTGGCACGTGTTTATGGCGCGGCAGCTGGTAGTTGGCGGTGTTTCGCGTGGTGTGGCATCACTGGCGGATCTGGGGGGGGAGGGGGGGGGCACGGGAGCCTGAGGTGCCCCTGACAGGCCCGTGGTGCCCTTGCTAGGCCTGTGGTGCCCCTGGACCCTGGCAGGCCTGTGGTAAAGTCCACAGCAGAAGTAATGTGGGGTTTCAGTCATGGGTATGTTCTGCTTCTGAAGCTTAGGAACGATTAGCCAGACTACAATGAAACTTTGAATGTAGCTTATATGTATCGTCACCCTTGCAGCTGCAACTTTAGCTATTGACATCTTCTTTTCAATCACTTCGCATTAAACAATCGCCAGTCAAAGCCAACCGTTGAGTTTGGTAAAACCCTACATTACTTTAGCGGTGGGCTGTACCTCTGGCGGGCCTAGGGTGCCCCTGCTAGGCTGCTGATGCCCCTGGGACCTGACAGGACTGTGGTGCCCCTGACAAGCCTAAAGTGCCCCCAACAGGCCCGTGATGCCCCCGACAGGCCCAAGGTGCCCCTGCGTGATGCCGTGATGCCTGCGAGGCCGGTGGTGCCCCCTGCGAGGCCGGTGGGGCCCCTGACAGGCCCATGGTGCCCCTGCTAGACCGGTGGTGCCCCTGGCAGGCCTGTGGTGCCCCTGCTAGGCCGCTGGTGCCCCTGGGCCCTGACAGGACTGTGGTGCCCCTGACAGGCCCAAGGTGCCCCTGCAAGGCCGGTGGTGCCCCTGTAAGGCCTGTGGTACCCCTGCTAGGCCTCTGGTGTCCCTGACAGGCCCATGGTGCCCCTGCGAGGCCGGCGGCGCCCCTGGCAGGTCTCTGGTGTCCCTGACAGACCTGGGGTGCCCCTGGCAAGCCTGTGGGGCCCCTCACAGGCCCGTGGTGCCCTTGCTAGGCCTGTGGTGCCCCTGGCGGGCTGGTGGTGCCCCTACTAGGCCAGTGGTGCCCCTGACAGGCCTGTGGTGCCCCCGGGCACCAAGGGGGTCATGACCCATGTGGCCCCCCTTGGATCTGCCACTGATGCATAATATATTGATTTGTAAAGGCGTTATGGCTTATGCAATATGCAATTGCAGGCACTTGGTATCCCTCACTTATCCCTCATTGGGGCTCTGGCGGGCTCCTGAGGGCCCACGTCTATCTCCGGGAGCCCATATAGACAGGCTCCTTTGGGTCCTTTCAGTACACTATAGCATAAGAGGTCTCCATGCGAGTCCTATACATACATCTGAGGGCGCACCCTGATGTCTGAGGTACCCAACTGCAGCTCCAATGGTCTCTTCTTACACTGGCGGATCCAGGGAGGGGGCATTTAGGGCCATGCCCCCTTCCCAGAGGCCTAAAGTGGCCCGTTTTCCCCCTCCCCCAAACGATAATGAAACATAGTTCAATCAGGGCGTGGCCCAGGAGCCGAGTTAGACAGGGCTGTTTTACCACCTCCGGCCCGCAAAGGAACCCAAGCACTGACTCGAAGCGGGTTAAAGAGACCCTCCCACCTTCAAAAAAGTTAATGAATTGGCATGAAAGTGATGTCGCTAGGTTCAGAAAGGGCGAAAACGAATATCTACCAAATTTTATCGAAAAATATTCACCGGTTTTCAAGAGATTAGACTTTTATTTTTGTTTACTTTTGGGATATCCGCTGCTGTTCCTAGCGACTGTATTTGAAATTGAAAGTGCGGCATTTGTTGCGCGCAAAGCAGCCTATACCACCGCATGCTACCAAACGTTTTAGTAAAATATTAAAAAAATCATTAGATCTCCGCTGACGTCACACATTCAGAGGGGTATCCAAAAGCATTAGCCCCTCTGAATCAAAATGCTGCAATTTTGAAATTCAATATTTCCGATTTAAGGCATTTCTCGATGTTGTGAGTGCGTGCCGAAACCGGTAATTGTGAGCCAGGGACCCCATTTTGGCTATCTCAGCTCAAATCTAATGTTAAGGTGGGAGGGTCCCTTTAACTGGTCGATAAAAACAATGGTAAGTGTTTACAAAGTAATATAAAGGCATGGGTCGGGTGGGCTACCATTTATATATTTTTCTTTTTAGTTAAAAAAAATTCATAGTGTCAGGGCTGTGACGAAAAATAAGTGGCCTAAATCCGATGAGAAAACAGGATTTGGGGGTACCCTAGGTTTGGCTCCTGCATGAGTTGGCCCCCCCCCCCCCCAAAACGCAAGCCTGGATCCGCCAGTGAATAAATGTGCTCGCCATTGCACATGTAGGTACAGCTGTTGATTTGCACGGCGTTATATGTAAATAGGGGAGACCCGGGAGGTATGGGCCATCGCAGTTTTGAAGAAGTGCTGCGTATTTTTACATATTTGACCGCGTAAGGTAGCAGCTATTTCGTTATACAACCCACGTGATTTCCAAAATCTTCTTCAGTCTCCTTTTGCAATGAGGGGTGATAATGCGTTTTTGCCCTTTTCGAATAAAAAACGGTACATACAGAAAATTCCTGGTAACTTTGAAACCAGGCTCGTTTTAGCATATCAGACTATCGCTAACATAAAGTTCAAAGCATGCAACTTAACCCGCGACCGCCTGGGGGGGGGGTCGGATCCGACCCCCCCCCCCTCCGTTTTTCTTGAATAACTCATGAACCGATTACGCTATCAACTTGAAACTTGGCATACCTTCTCACCCATCAATTTGACGTCTTTTGTGCAATTTTTAAGAATTTTTGTTCACAAAATGATTGAGATATATCGATTTTAGTGATGTAACTACACGGCGTTTTCAGTCAAAAAGTGGTAAATTTAAAAAAAAAAATTGCCAAAAATCGAGGTTTAAAGGAAGACTGCCACCTTCAGAAAGTTTTCTCAGATCGGCCTATGATTTATTCCCTGGATAAAACAAAATTTTAGAATTCACCTGACAAAGTATCATCACGTGAATCGCGAAAAAATTATCGATTATCATACAATTATCAATCGGTTAATGTCTAGCGACAATGTTTACACATCACTAGACTTCAAGGTCATAAGATTATTACATTTTATTTGAAAAAGTAAGGTATTTTATGATTTACTAATATATGATTTCATAAGAAATTGGCCATGTTTAATTTATTTTGCATTTAACTTCGTAAAACATTTAAAAATCATGGCTCATTTGGAATGGGTCTGGCCCATGTTAAACCCCATTTCCCACACTTTTTTGGAAAAAATGAACTACTGAATATATAAGTTTAACTTTTATTTTGACACTCCAAAATTCTTCTCTGATCTCGAAACAATCAAAGTTTTGACATATATTTGCCAAAAGATAAGAAAATTCATGTTTCAAAGTTATCGATAAACAGTGGGGCGTTTTACCTCATGTGTTGTTCGGACTACCCACTTCCTAATGTTCGGTAGCTGGCGAACGGCATGTTTCTATGCATTTATATGTACTTTTCTCAGCAACTGGATGGCAAAGGAAGTATTTTGTTAACATTTGCATTGCAATAATTTATTATTTGGCCTTCTGAGGCAGGTGAAAAAACTGCTCACACAATAGTGTCGTAGCTGAACACCTGATAGGATGGAAGGTGCTAACTTCAGTGCCGTGCCTCCCAAGGTCTAACGGACCTCTCATAGGTATAAGATTTAGTCAACTAGCATGTTTAATCTTTAATCTAGAGTATGGGGCTTCTTGCCCCAGGCCGTGGGGCGTTTTGC